GCAGCTGAGCGCATACAGTGTACTAGATCTAGGTTTCCCACTAACTCCTTAATAAGAAGGATACCCGTTTAGGGGTTTAGGGGTTTAGGGCAAGGAGACCCCCAAATAAAAAGGGAAAACACTAGTTTCACGGAGCACCCTCAAAGGTATTATTGTGCACTTGTAGGTGTTTTTTTTACAGAAGCCCATTAGACGACTGTTTGTGGGACTACACTATATATTTGAGCGCTGCCGCGGGGTGCCAACAGACACCACAAAAAAGACCACAAAAAAGTACCACACTAACTTCATGGAGCACCTTCAAAGGTGCTGTGCATTTTTCAGGGTTAGTGTTTTATGCAAAACCACACAAACCCATCAATGACTATATCCCTGTAGAAGGGAGCGGACTCACCCCTAAACTCTAGACCCAAAACCCCCAAACCCTAAACCCCTAAACCCTAAACCCTAAACCCTAAACCCCTAAACCCTAAACCCCAATCAAAAAAGGGCTGCTAGATCCCCATTGCAAGCTGACGACTCGGAGTCGATGCTCATGAGGACCTTGCCTTCGCTACCTGTGCCAAAACAATTTGGGTGGTTGTTAAAATTAGGGTTTAGGGTTTAAGGTTTAGGGACCCTAAATATTAAGTGCCGTATTATAAGAGGGATCCAAAAAGGGACCGTAGTGTTGACAAGCACCCATTTAGAGATAAGAGTTTCGCGTTTATTGTTTAGGGTCTTAGATTTGAGGTCGGATTTGGCTGAATGAGGGGTCCCTTTCTTGGCAATTCCTAATTGGTATGCTGAACAACGCATTCGGGTCTACATTGGGTCCCACATGTTTGGCAACATGCATTTAGAATTTAGGGCCTTTTCGAGGACGCTAAAGATTTCTGGCGACCATAATCTTGCTTTGGGTTTCTCAAAATAGGTGTTGTGTAGGGATTATTTTCAGAAACCGCTTAATTCTTGCAGGTTTCGGTTTTAGCTTCGCAAGGTTTTGCAGGGCGTACGCAGCGTTGCGAGGCGTCAAGTAAAATACACTGCCTGCCTTTATACCGTTAAAGTTTTGGGGTCAAGTCTCGTGCGGTTTGGGGTGCTGTAAGAACCACAGTGTAGGGCTTGGAATCTAGCAGCCAGGGTTGCGTCAGGTGGAGTCATCGATCTCAAGTTCTGCTCTATGATGGGTGTGAGGGTAGGCCCACGATATCCTCGACTTGGATTTTTGGGTGTAGGGTCGGAATCCGTGGCCCTCGAAAAGCCCGAAGCCTCCAACCAAAACACCGATCCCCAAGTCTTACAGCCCGACACTTTCTGGTTGAAGTAGGAAGCAATTGAAAAGAAAATGGAACTACTATAGTACTGGAAGGGTGTGTAAGGACTACCATGGGGATCCATCCTCCATTCCCAACTACCAACCAGCAAGTAAACCTTCCGCTCCATGCAGTGAGCCGCCAACAGTATGCGCGATAACATGTTGTTGGATATCATGCACCTGTTTTGGCAAGAATTAGCACAAGTCGGGGTTTTGGGGTTTCACACAAGAACGCGTCTGAAAAACGGTACAACCTTCCGCCCAAACCCCCGAGCCCTCAAAGTGAAGCTGAAACTACTGCAACTACTACTCTTGCCAGATAACATGATGAAGACCGCAACAACCACTTGTGCTTTAGCTTGAGCCATGGAGCACTCGATGTCCATGTCCTGCAATTCTGTCCACCACTCTGGCCAAGTCCCAGACTTCTGTCCTTCAGGCAGCAAGAATGAAACGGTTCAGGGTGGGTTTAGGGTTAATGACACCAGACGTCTGGACCCTAAGATCGCAAACCGCCGAGCCTCATAAGTCCAAAGGAGCCACTGCTAAACCCTCCACCCCAGACCTGTAAACCCCCAACCCCTGAACCCTGCAAGTGTGTAGACTAAGCCTCGAACCTTCAATTCCTAAACCCGCAAACTCTGAATCCCCACTCTAGGCTTCGCAAACCTACTTAAACAAGCATAGTATATTGGGGTTATATGGAGATAATGGAAAAGCACATGGAAACTACTGTAGTATATTGGGGATATATGGTAATTTCCCTAAATAGGGGGACCTCCATATAGACCCAAAAATACTATAGTCCTTATTACAGGGACCCCAAAAAGGTACCCAAAACTAAACCCTAACCCCTATTAGACCCCTATGTTAGCCCCTATAGACCCCCAGTTTCCATTTCCTTTTTTATTTTCTGTTCCATTTGATTCTCCATTTTTGGGGTACTATATATCCCCCCATATAAGGATTATCTTCATATCGGGCAACAAGCTCTGGGCATCCACGGCTTCCACCTAAGGATAACTCTAGCCGTTCCTGTCTCCATCGCATGGGTAAGGATTTAGGATTTAGGGTTTAGGCTTAGAAGGCACTCTCCCGATAAACCTAACAATCCCACAAAGACAACGCTTTCGTCGGCGTGAGGGGCTCTCGTGGGGTTCAATACATATCCCGAAACCCGAAAGACAAACCCAAAAACCTGTACCCAAAACCTACTGATGTGGGTTCTGTACCACCTGCCCCTGCACTACCCCCCTCTCAACTTCCCCCTTAACTAGGGTCATTTAGGAATGGTGCTAACTAAGGGGAAACGGTGGCGTAGTGTAGGGGGTGGTTAGGAGAACTCGGAACCCTTCATCCCAAACCGTGTGGGCTTGATGCAGAACCCATTATAATAGTTTCCATTCTATTTTCCATCAACCCCATATTAACCTATATTACTCACTTTATAACCCCCAATAAGATGCCATAATTAATTTCCATTGTCTTTTGAATTATCCCTATATTAACCTATACTACCCCTATACTATCCCAATATTATTAACTTATATTACTCCTATATTATCCCAATACGATTAACCCAGATTACCCCAATTTTATCCCAATACTAAGGCAAGTAGCTGCTCGTTGGCAGAACCACGGGACTATCTGCTTTCCTTGGCGGCGAGGCGGGGCGGGGCAAGGGGAGGCGAGGCAAACAGTTACCATTTCTGTAACTACGGGTTAGGTGTTTAGGGTTTAGGGGTTTAGGATTTAGAGTTTAGGGTTTAGGGTTTTGGGCTTGGGGTTTACGGCTACTACTGCTCTTATTCTTACTATTCCTACTGCCATTGTTGTTGAAATTGCGATTACTGTTAATGGTCCGGGCTGTTGGGGCTTAGAAGATCCATGAACTATCCTTACCGCCCCGCATGCGATCATACACGATGCCATGAACATGGTAAGCCTGCAACAAGGACTTTCAAGCCCACCCACCCTGAACCCATACACCCCCAACCCTAACACCTGAACCCTGAACCCTGATTTCTAAAGCCTACTATACTTCTTCCATCCGACACGAGCTGAAAGGCTCTTATTAGATGCTATTGCAGGCTGCAATGGCTGCAATCTCAGAGCCCCCCCCCCACACTCCATTCTTCAGAGTTGTTTGACCAGTTTAGGATTTAGGGAATCCAGCGATGTTGCAAGAACGAGCCCGCATACGGTTTGGAATGCGCACATGAGTGTTTCTCAAAAGAGCGGGGGCGGGCCAGGGATGAATGGACAGGGAAGGATCCTCAATTTCTCTAGCAAGCCGTTTTTCCTTGCTTCAAACAAGTTTACACTCCTGGAAACTAACATGGAAACCCAAAAAGGGCCATATAAAGACTACCGTCCTTTTAAAAGGGGACTATATGGATTTCCATGTTAGTTTGGGGGAGTGTACTTCCTTTTTTCCTCAGAAAAAAAACTGAACCCTGAACCCACAGCCCTCTTCTGCAAGGCGAGCCACACCACTGGAACAAAGCCGCACACCACGCCGGTGGACTGTGGGGCAGGTCGGCATTTTTACGGAATTGTTGGTCACCTCTATGCCTCCTTTTTGCCCTTGCTGTATGCTTCCTGGCAGAACCTCTCAAGCCAGAGCTGTATAACCCTTATGGGGTAAAAGTCTATAATGTGAGTGAAAGAATCAAGAACATCAACATCGACCCAGCTTGATGTCTGGGACGTAGGGTCTGCTTTGGGTCTCCTGTGTCCTGGGAGCATGTAAGTGATGTAAGGTGAGACCCTAAACCCTAAACCCTATATAACCAAGTGCGGGGTTTTGCGCGGACTTTCTGCCGACTTCCGGGGTAGGGTTTTGGATCTAGGGTCTTGAGCTTCGCAGACGCAAACAACTCTGGGCCTACACCTGCTACCTACGGTAGCCATAAAGTTTCGCAAGCTTAGGCTAGGCTGCTGTTAAGGAACTTAAATGACATCACCATAATATGGGTATATGGTAAATAGTCGTTTTCTTGTTATAGAAAGTCCATTGAGTTCTGACCTGAAGAGCAAGCAGCCTTCAAAGGTCCAAGTGGCATCCCCATCGCACGAACCATGAATGCCTAAGCCCTATCTGCAACCCCAACTACCTACAGTTTTATGGGGCTAGACCTACTAATTTAAGGCGGACTTACTACTAAACTGTAGGTAATTGGGGCTACAGGTAAGCCTGCATCCAGCCCCTAGGCCCTAGACCCCAAATACTTCAGCCCTGCGCCTTGAGCTTTGTAAGCGGTTGAAGGTTTCGGGCTTAGGGTTTTGGCTTTTGGGTTGAGGGTTTAGGGTTTGGGGTTTTGGGTTGAGGGCTTTGGATGATTTCGTTTAAGGGTTCAGGCTTTAGGGTTCAGGGTTTTTTTTTACCAACCCCTCGCACCTTTTCTGATGCTAGCAGATTGCTGGGGAGGAATATGTCATCGCTGCGGTGGTCCCGACATCCCCACATGCAGTCAGATTTCCTGGGTGGCCTCAGGCAAAGTTGCCGCCACTCCTTCAACATCTACCCTTTTCTCGTCATCGACCACTTCAGTGGTATCAGCACTACAGGACACTCCTTCACTCACACCATTCACACCATTTTCGTTCTCACTCTGTACTTGTGCTTGGTGCGTAACAGGTACACTTCCATTGCCATCATCTTCACCCTGTAGTAGAACATCCATGTAGTTCTCGTCATCCTTTAGATCTCCGTTAGCTGGTTCCGGTACTCCAGAAGCTGGTACTGGTACGTGTGCACGCGGCTGTGCATGTCCACTGGAGCCAGGCATTGTCCCATGGTTGGGTCCACAGCGTTCAGGTCCTCCACTTGCAGACTCACCACCATACCTGGCATCTCCTCGTACATGTCCATCAGCTGGACGTCCAGAAGCGGGTACTGGTACTTGTGCACTCGGCTGCGCAGGTCCACTGGCATTGTCCCATGGTTGGGTCCACAACGTTCAGGTCCTCCACTTTCAGACCCATCACCAGCGTAGCCCGGTAGTTGAGGCTCCGCATTGGCTATCATGACGGGGTCAACCTAGGTACTCACAGTCCTCTGCCTTTTTGGGCTCGCCGGGTTGTCCATGGCTTGCTTGACAATCCAGACTTCCCATTCTTGTGCGATGGCGGCCGATTTTGCCAGTCGAAGTTTCTCCTCCTCAATGGCGACGGCCATCAATCGCCTTTGTAGTTCCACCACCATTTCCACGAAAGCCGATTCTTTTGTGGCACCCTCTTCAATCGTGGCATTCGCAGAGTCTTCTATGGTCACCACGTTGCTGAGCTTGGAGGTCTCCATGTCGAGCCACACCTCAATACGCCACATCCATGCCTGCGTCCATTGGTCAACTTCATCCGGCCTACTTTCGTCCATGTCGTCATCATGAAATGACACAACAACCGCCCTCAACATATCCACAAGGTCTCTGATGCTTTCATGAACCTTGCCCTCCATGTTGTTCAGAAGTTGCATGAGTTGCCTGATCTTGGCACCCACTCCTTTCTGCATGGCCTGCAGCATTTCAAGTTCACGTTGAAGCATTCTTGCCAGCCAGAACCGGTCACCTGTTCTGTATTCAGCGAAGGCAGGGATCCTTTGTAGATATTGCATAAGGGACTCTGCCAGCTCTCTTGATGGCATTCCGAACTCGGCTCCAGAATGGTTTCCACCAAGGTGGGAGGCCACTTTTGGACTCTGCCAGCTTCAGAGTCTGAATCTGTGCCATCAGGACCTTGGAGATTCTGCGCACTCCCGGCAGTCTGCTTCTGGTACCTCTCAGCAACGCCAGTTTGACCGGTTTTTCCACCATTGGATGGAGCATGGTGACGTAGTTCTTCTTAAAGGCCTCTACAAATTCCGCCATTTGGTCCGCACTCAAGGTTCCCAGCTGTTTGCCGTTGACTTGGTGGTCCTGCTGCATGAGCTGCATGTCGTCATAGTCATATTCTTCTTCTCCTCCATCTTCTCCTTTTCCATCATCCTCAACTTCCACTTCAACACTGTCATCGGCCTCTCTCGCCGACGGTTCTTCACCATGTCCTTCCGGAATGTCGTCCACCAGGTCCTCTTCATGTTCCGCCGGGTTGCGGCCCTGATTTCCTGGACCTCCGTCACAGTCGATTACTTCTTCTTCATCTTCTTCTTCGCGCCATGTAGATGGCCTGGCCGTCCTGCTTCTGGGCGTACATCTCGTGGCATGGTGGCCGTGATTCTTTTTGATCAGCCACTTCTGTCTTGCGATCTTTGTTCTCCATGGGGCAACCGCAATCGACTTTGCCAGCTTGTTCTTCGCGTCGACCTTCGCCCCCTCATTGGGTTTAGCTTTCGGCTTGGCAAGGTCAGCTGGTCTGTCCCTGCTTGGCCTGCTCTTCGGAGCCGCCTTCGGTACTCTCTGTTGGGGCACTCGTCGTCTTCTGGGAGGTCTCCCTGACGACGCTGAAGCACAACTCCCCAGGTAATCATCATCCCCATGTTCTGCATCTCCCATGGGTTCTTCACCGGCATTACCAGCTCCTGTTTCTCCACCTGGCGGCATTGGCGCTATCTCGTCCATATCGTGGCCCCGATCCATGTCCATGGACACAATTTGGATCATGGTGGCCATGTCCGACGCTATTGTCGCGATTGTCTGCAACATGCTAGCAACCACCACCGCGAGTCCCCACCCGCCATCTCCTCTAAGCATAGTTTCAAGATGACGGAGCTCCGGGCTGCTTAGCCCAATCCCATGTTCATCTTCTGGCCGCCTAGCGAAGATTCCTCGTACTTCTCGATCAAGAGCTGCTTGTTGTCGGTAGTTGTGGCTTCTATTCGGGTATAAGACTTGTTTTTCAGCAAGCCTTTGACGCACAGTGCGTCTGCGAAGCGGAGGACGTCTCCTTATGCAGTTGCCGTTGGGCTGCTTTTGCCTGCGAGGTCTGTCCTCCTTCTTCTTCTCGTCCTTGCGATCATTTCCTCGTCCTGCATTGCCACGTCCTGCGTGCTTGGAGATCATCATGAGGGAGGCCGAGTCACTCTCGCGTTCCGCACTCAAACGGTGTTTCATCTTGCCGCTTCTCCGTTCCGTCCAACTTTTTGTGGAGAGTAGACTCCTCTTGTTGTAGGCTTGGTCACAGCAGTTGGACACTTCATCCAACCTTGGGGTAGGTGTCTTACTGCATGCTTCACCAGGGAATAGGTTCACAGTCAGGTACAGGTCAGGGTTCGACTCACGAACGTCACCAAAAGGAAGGATGTGAGGGCTGGGCGGCGCCTTTGAAACGGCGTCGATCCAGTCCTTGCGGATGAAAAACATCAAGATGAGTTCACAAAGGATCACCTTGATCTTGGGGTAAGGATTGACTCCATGTCTACACTCCATGGCAAGCGCTCTACGGCAAGCACGGGGCAGAAGCACGGGGCTGAGGCAAGCGTTGTTGTTCGCTGGGCCAAGCTTTTAGTTGCAGACACAATGTCCAAGACATCACTCGCCCGACCCTCGAGGCAGCGTCTAGCAGATACTCAGTTGTCTCCCCGTACCCCAAGGAATGTCGTGCATGGCTACCCACTTGCTTTCAAGGGAGGCCCATCTTCTCCGGTCCCCCGCCACAATACGCCAGTCGGGTTCATTACATCCACTGCGCGCAACCTTAGTCAGGTCTCTTCCCTCCAAACTGAGCTTTGCAAAATGTCTGCGCCCATGTCTACGCCCGATTGTTGACATTTGCTCATTGAGCCACCACGTGTGTGGTCTGACTCCGGTGAGTATTCCAGCTATGCTAGGTGTACTCCCAAGGCATGACCTCGCATGATGTCCAGTGTAAGCCCAGTTCATGCGGATGAATCGAGCGCCCCACCTCTCTTTGCCACTGTTGTAAATAAACAGCCTAGCCATTCTGGTAGTTCTCATTCTGAATGCATAGTACAGCTAATCAGGTCTTCTCTTGAATTTGGCAGCAGTACATATACATTGAGTCTGAAAGGAATTCAGCATGGAAATAGCTGACTGCGTTGGGAATATTGCGCCCACTGACCACGAAATCGAAGTCCACACAACCCTGTCTAACAGCCACATCTTCCTAGGAAGAGGCGCTTCGGAGAGCATAATGTCTTGAATCGCGTAGAATTTGGCACGTGCTTTGGCAATGAGTGCACCCATGTGTGTGGATTCCGTGATCCCAGGCGCGACTGGCACCCCCATCACAATCCATGTTTCCTTAGTCAGTGGCATCCAGTCTCACTCCTTCGACCGTGATGCCGAGGTCACCTACAGCTCCATGACAAAGTAGTGCACTCTTTTGTATGTTGATGCGCAGACCAAACCTACCCAAAAGAGACTGTAGTTCCTCAACTTTGGCTTGGAGCCTTTTGGTGGAGCCATCCCATGCAATGATGTCGTCCATAAATGCTTGGGCCTCAGCCTGACCATCAGGCAGCCATCCTATTGCCTGCCATTTCTCTGCGAGTTGATTGAGGACTTTTGTAATGACCCATCCGAAGAGTGTTGCCGACTCAACCCCGCCTTGCCGTATGCCGATATTCATCTCAGTTTTTCCATCAGCCCAGAGCGTCGGTACACAAGCCGTACCCACCCTGAGCATAGCGAGAAGGTTCCTGACCTCGGTCGGAAATTCCCCCCCCAACTCCTCCGGGCACAGCGGTCCAGGCGGTCGAATGCTTTCTCAATATCCACCTTTACTGCGCAAACCGGAACATTCCACTCATACGAGAGTTGCATAACCCGTTGAATAGCCCAGATATAATCAGTCGTTTGCCTTTGGGGTGCGCAACACTGAAAAGGAGAATCAGGGATCAGCTTACGCACGATTCTCTGCACGATCAACCGGGAGAACGTTTTCGAGAGATGGCTAGTGAGGCACACCGGGCGTAAATCTTTTGGCACCAGCGGACTGCATCGCTTGGGCAGCAGGCACATGAGGCTACGGTACCATTCATGAGGGCGCAGCTGTTCCTCCATGACTTTGTCAAAGGAGCGCTTTAAGGCTTGCATACCCTCTTCAATCTGGATGATTGCTTTGAGCAGCTCTTGGGGCACACCGTCCATCCCCACCGACTTGCGATTGGCCCCATGGTAGATGGCCTGCGAGATCTCATCGACTGAAAACTCGACAAAGTTTTCAGCCAGGGCATCCTTCATTTCTTGTAGCCTCCCATCTACGTCGGGGTTTCCACTAGCAAAGATGCTTTGGAAGTGCTTTTCAATTGACTCAGCAGGGTTGGTTTCCCGAGCATCAGCAAAGCATTCCTGCCACCTGGAGCTCTTCTGTTTCTTGGCCCAATGAAAAGCACTCCAATCATGACATGCAGCATCAAGCCTCCACACGACTCTCGCGTTTCTGAGGGCTCTGCTGTACACAATCCAGTCCTGAGGGCCGCGACTGCTCCTAGCCTTTTTGCCCAGGTCCTTCACATCCTGCGGCACTACAAAACCTACCTTAGGCGGGGACACAGTCTACTTCACGGCAAGCTTCTCAATCTCCTTTTGATCAAGAAATGCAACCTCGTTGACCTGGATGGTGATGTCTTGCCGCATGACTCTCGGACACCCAGATCTCTTCCTCGGCCTCTCGGCAAACTGAAGTCTGATGTCTACCTCAATGACTTCATGATCACTTCCTATGATCTTTCTGCTTCCTTCTTGCACCCGTACTTCACTGCACCTGCCAAGAGCATTTGTGAAGAAGCCATCGATTTGTGAGGAGCTCGAGGGGGTTTTTCTTGTCCAGTAGGTAGGGGTATGCACATTGACCTGGGAAATGCCTTGGAGTCTCCTTGTACCAAAGTGGTCAATCATGGCCTGCGTCTTCCCCGCAGAGGACGAGACATACTTTACATTGCCATCATCTTCCCAGTCCAGTCTGGTATTCAGATCTGCACCCAGAATTGCCATCTCTGCTGTTGGTGGCAGGCCATCCAGAAGACTTTGCACCTCACTGGTGCGCGCATCTTTGTTTATCCCCGTGCTCAAGTAGCCGCTTCCAAACCAAGTTTTCTTCGCAGCCCGCACATGCTGCAGGAGATACCACGTCCCATGCTCGGTAGCCTTTTTCTTTAACAGGGTCCACTTGGCATTCTTGAACGCGATCCCTGTGCCTCGGTATCCATGTTGGGGTTGGTACGTAACCACGGAGAACGCGCCATGCTCTTGGGTCTTGCTCCATCCTGGGGTACCCTTAGGGTATTCCTGAATGAGAACAATGCTTGCATCATCGCATTCGCGAAGAGAATCAAGGTAGCTCTGGATTTTCAAGGATTTAGCACCACCAACGTTCCAGCATTGCACTGTCTCATTGATGCTGCCAGTGAAACCATCGTGGTTGGCTGAAGATCAGTTTGAGATCGCGGCAGCCCACTGCTGCCCAATCTCCTCCACCGACTTACCCGTAACTCTGCTGATAGCCTCAAGGTCGGCCCAGAATCCTGGTCCTCTGCCTGCCGCAATGTGGTCCTTGTCGGGCCGAATCCTTACAGCGCTCCCAAGGGTATAAGACTGGCAAAAGACCGTCCCGGTC